GAACCTGATGCGGGCTCGATCCCAGGACCCCAGGATCATGCCCTGAGCCAAAAGCAGATGCGCAATCGCTGAGCCACCCAGGTGCCCTGCCCCCTAGCTTTTTCACTTAAGTAGGCCCCTTTGTGAGCAATGTGGTGGCAAACAGGAAAGAAAACCAATGTTTGTTGAGGGTCTCTTTGGGGCCAGGCACTGCCCTGGATGCTGGACATGTCACCTCATTTGACTCTCAAAATGAGAGCTGGAGAAGGGAGTGTTTGTCCTCTTTGACAAATGTGGAAACAGGTTCAGAGACACACAAGCTGCAGGCTTCTACCCGTGTATCTGGTAGGTGGGGGGCTGGGTCTGCTGGGCTCAGAGGGTGCTTCTCTACAGTCACGTGATTACACGGTTAGCAACCGGCCGTCGACACCCTCCTCTCAGGAGTGTTCACCCCCCCGGGGAACTTCCAAGCTGGTGATTCTCATCTCAGGAACCCAGACTTCACACAGAAACTGTTTCCGTAGGCTGATTCTGTCCTCCCTGCTGTGTGGGCCGGGGACACGAAAAGATAAGAAAATTCAGTTTTCACCCCAGAGGAGGTAATACCTGGCAAAGAAGGAGGAGGCTTTCAGGGACAGGTCCCCCCTATGAATATGCATCAGTGGCCACCTCTGTGAGAATGCCCCATGCACTGCGGAGCTGAAGCGGACACTCGTTCCAATGGGACTGTCCAGATACAAGCAAGCCCCAAACCATTGCAGGCTGTGGCCTTTCCGATCACCCTTGAAGCCTGGCATACTCGGGTTATAGCATAAAATACTACTACACATGGACTCCCTACTCATGCTTCTCATCTGAGCTTGTGGCAGGTGTGAAGAGGGGCCATTGGGGAGCACCAGAGGGAGGAGTTGGATGTTTCGTTGGGAGGCAGGACCAAACTTAGTGATTCCTATGGCAGGAGAGGCCAAGGTGACCCTGAGCTCTCAGTGGGAAGCAGTGTCCCAGAGGATGGGGACTGGGCTGTTGACCTGGACCTCTAGGGCTCAAGCCCCTCCACGGAGATGTGGAGGCCAGGTCCTTCCCTGAGTTTCCTTCCATTCTCAAATCTGACAACCAATGACAGTCAGCTGAATGTGAACTGCCACAGTGCTTCCACGGTGTGGATCCTGCTAGTTTGTTACCCTGACCCAGAGTGAGGGCGGTGGGGGTCATTGCCAGGGGCGTTTCACTGGTTGGTTCTAAAGCAACCTCTGGGAATGCTTTCTTCTTCTCCTTCTTCTCCTTCTTCTTGTTCCTCTTCTTCTTCTTCTAAGATTTTATGTATTTATTCATGAGAGACACAGAGAGAGAGGCAGAGACATAGGCAGAGGGAGAAGCAGGCTCCCTGCAGGACTCGATCTCAGGACCCTGGGATTATGCCCTAGCCAAAGGCAGACACCCAACCACTGAGCCACCCAGATCCTCCAAGAATGTTGTCTTCTTCCTCTCTTCCCTTTAGTCTATTTTCCCAGGAGTATTAATTGGGTCAGAAAAAAGGGTCCATGAAGACAGAGCAAGAGAAACCCCAGACTTCAGCGAGGATGGTGAAAGAGAAACTGGGATGAGTCATTGGCCAGGTTTTCCCGGAACCTCTCCTATGAACACAGGGACTGCGCCCACCCACAGTGCTGGAGCTTTTACCTAAGTGGGAGGCGCACTGTATCAAATCTATTGATTTACTGAATCAAAGTAAAAAGCAATTTCAGTTGAAAAGCAATATATGTTCAAGTTAGAAATATTAGAAGAGCAACTGCACCCAAGCACAACAGAACCATAGCCCTTACCCCGCCATGTGGGGCCCAACTCCCTGGTGGACAACCTTCCAAATCACGAATCCAGAACACTTCTTGGGAAGCAGAAGTGGGATCGTTTTGTTTATTGTGAACCTTTTTTTTTTCATATTCACTTTGTCCTTATCACTATTCACTTAACCAATTTCCTCCTTCTGGACATTTAAATCGCTTCCAACTTTGGTAAAGCATACGACAGTGGACAAACTTAGAGCCATGTCTTATAAGTCCTTCGTTATTTCCAGAGGATAAACTCGTTGTTGTGGACTTGTTTGGTCAAAATATTAATATTGTTGTCACTTCTCAACACACTGCCAAATGTTCCACCAGAAATTCCATACCTGTCTGTATTTCTTCTGGCTATCTATAAGGAGGTTCTGTTTTCACCATTGTCAACACTGTATATTTCAATTTTTAAAAATGAAAGATGAATATCTAAGTTAAAACTTACTTTTTACAAAAATTAATAAACAGAAGACTTTTTCATGGCCTTATTGCTCAATTGTATTTCTTCTTTTGCGAATGGTCCCTTTTATGACCATGACTCCATTTTAACATTGAAGTGTCCTTCTGTTCTTTCTACATTTACACACACACACACACACAAACAATTTTAAGGATGTTAACCTTTGTCATACATCTTGTCCCCTTTAGTCCTTTGTGTTTTAATGTTTCTTATAGGCTTTTATGTCCAAAACTTTTAAACTTTACATAGTCAGATCCATCAATCCTTCCTTCCTCATGGTTCCTGCCCTAGAAGCCATGCTTACTACCCAGAATTGAATGAGATGCAAGAGTAAATTATTGTTTGAAAAAGAACAGGGACGCCTGGGTGGCTCAGTGGTTGAGCGTCTGCCTTTGGGTCAGGTCATGATCCTGGGGTCCTGGGGTCCTGGAATCCAGCTTGCTGCTCAGTCTGCTTCTCCCTCTCCCTCTGTCCCTTGCTTGCTCTCTCTCTCTGTCAAGTAAATAAATAAAATCCCCCCTCAAAAAAAGAATCTGCATACACTTTTGAAAAAACGTATCTGGAGCATCCTTTATTTTAAAAAATAAATAGATAAAAAACTTTGCATTACAAAACTAATGTGTTTGTTAACAGAATTTCTGACTTCACAGAATCTGGTAAGTATAAAGTGCAAATTTCTAATTGGCCTTTTCAAAATCTAAAGTTTTAAAAGAGGAGCACTGTTAAAAGTTCAGCATCCTTCCAGATACTGAACTAGAATTCTAGAATCCTTCTAGAATTTTTTCCATGAATTCAGTAATTATATAATGTGATATGATACAGTATAATTATCACTTTTTAGTCTACTTTATCCTGTTTTGACCATTGTGCAGTATCTCATAATATGAATCTGCCATCATTTTAGGTGTTTGCAATTTTCTATTACAGAAAAATCCTACAACAAATGCCCTTGGACAGAATGTTTCCACATTTATGTAAATACTTGTGTAGAATAGATTTCTCAAGTTAAAATTACTTAGGTAAAAAAAAATATATATATATATATATTGAAGTTTGATAGAAATTGCCAAATTTCATGCCCCATGAGGTGTGGATTTATACCCCCTTCAATATTATATGAAGGTGCATGTTTCTCCCTGTATCCTACGTAAACTATTATCTTTTCTAATTTGGCCAATCTGGTGGTGATAATAGTATTTCATAGCTGTATTAGATATCCTCTGATAAGTTTATTGACATTCCTTCTATTAAGAATTTCTTCTATAAACTGTTCATTTGTATCTTTAAATTACATTTTAAAAACTGAGTTTTCTTATTAATAGGAATAATTTCCATAACTTGTATATTAATAATTTTTCATATATATTGCAAATATTTTCCATCATGTCTTTTCATTTTGCTCATCTCTTTGCCAATAAATAAATATTACATTTTTACTGGTCAATTTTGTCCATTTTTTCTATATTACTTTTGGATCATATAGCACATGTAGGTAGGCCTCCTATGCTCAAAGATATGAAGATATATTTCTGTGAATGTTTTTTAGCACTATCACAGTTTCTTTAACATTTAAGAATTTAACACAACTATAGTTTATCTTTGTGGGTGATGTGCATTAGGAATTTGTCAATAATCACGAAGTAAATATTCTCTGTAGGTATCCTTTTACCCAGTGGTTGAGATCCATTGCTTTCACTTAACTTCATTTTCTGGGCAGCTTTCTAAGAGGTAATAACCACATTTGTGCCTAAATTTTAAAAAAAGCAAGCAAGCATAATTTTTAAGATTTTTACTCTATCCTAAGGAAGCACAAAACGACATTCACTTTGGAAATCTATCATTAGGTTTCCCTTTTTTCTGTGGCTGGCTCTCTTGGTGCATTTTTTCTGTGTACACTCATCAACACATCACTTTATTTCTCTCCCCAAATCATAAATTTCTTTCCTCTTTCTCTGAGTCCTCTCTCACTTGTCCTTTTCTCTGTATCTCTTCCTCTCCTTAACCATCTATAATATTAACCATTGTAAATGCTCTGAATGATTCGTTCTCGTTGTTTGACAGTATTCCAGACTCTTTGTGTTTTTGTTTATTTAGGAACAAGTTTTTATTTACTTAACTGGATTTCAATAGACTTGTAAAATATACGTTGAGCATTAGTCTGGGGATTTCAAGCATTTACAGCTGAGACTCAACTTACATTTCATTTTAATCACAAAGAATTTTAGAACCTCTAAAACACCTTTAAAAGAAGAGAATAAATCCATTTCCATAATTCTTTCACGTGTATACATTCTCCGATGCTTGTAATCATAGGATAAATATATGCTGCTAGTCACTAATGAACTTACTATGGTCCTGTTAGAGGTGGCACAGCAGAATGTCTGGTTAAAGCAGGCTGTCTGGTTAAATCTGGCTCCTTGTTAACCAAAAGGGGATCCTGAATGATTTGCTCAGCCTCTTGGTTCTTTTTCTCTTTGACGGGGTTAATAAAACCCACCCAAGGTTGTTGTAAGGATTAAAATGTGATTAAGAAGATACTTGCACATAATAAACACACCTGCTTTGGTAAAAGAGCATCAGCAGGGTTGGTTTGCTGAGTGTGCGTGTGTGTGTGTGTGCGCGCTATGCTACTGTAAAAGAAGCAAAAAAGAGAGGCACGTGGTTCAGCTCTCAGAGGGTGGATTCCACTGGTCTTACTTTAGTTCCTTTTGCAGGAAGAGCTCAGAATCACAACAAGGAAACTAACCCCAAAGATGAACCTCGCATGTCAAATCTTAGCCAGCTTCCTTCTGATTTTCGTCTTTTACATCAAAGGTAAGTTGGTGTGGGTCTCCGTTGGAGACCCAAAAGTAAGCATGAAAGTCAAAAAGTCATAGCCTAAAATTTCTCTGGAAGTGAGTCTCGAGATCTCAGTAACTGTCTTGCTTTTTATAGGTGAGGTCACTGAAACCAAGCTTGTCTGGGGTGCCCTTGGTCATGACCTTGACCTGGACTCTGCTGGTTTTCAAATGAATGCTAATATAGACCATATACGATGGGAAAAAGGCAAAACCAAGGTTGCAGAACTCAAAGCAGGCATACTTAAAGACACACATGGAAAATACAACATATCAACAAACGGATTTCTGAAAATTAAACATCTGATGATGAATGACAGCGATACCTACAAGGTGGATATATATGATAAAAATGGAAAGAATGTATTGAAAAGAATTTATCAATTGAGGATTCAAGGTAAGTCTCATTCCCTAAATTCCTCCATCTCAGTATGGGCGCTACTTAGCAAGTTGGGGAATAACATTTATGGAATGGCCCCAGCCTGCCCTTGGCCAGGGTGGGGGAGCCCTAAAGGAGAACTAATGCATCTCTCCCACCTCAGGGAGGGCTCCAGTCCTGTGGAAGAGATGGAGTCTCCGCATGGGGAGATACACGGCCAATAAAAGTTCGACTCTCTTTGCCGAAAATGCTCTCTTCCGTGGTTATGGGGATGTGGAGCTGAGTGTAGAACCTAGATCAAGGTGGCATTGATCAGGAGGAGAGGAACAGGTGGGAAGAAGAGAAAAGTGGTCATTTCAAGTGGATGATGAAAAAGCAAGCTGGGTGTGGAGAAGACTAACTGGAAAGAGGTGGGTCTTCCTTTTAGAGAGACATTTCAAGCCACGATGCCCTGAAAGAGTATTTATATGGCAGGAAAGGGCTGGAAGTAATGAATTTAAAGATGAACAGCCCTTGTTTCAGATCTGCTCAACATCAGAGTGATGAAAAGTGGAAGATAATTTGGGCTGATGGCTACAGAAAATACAGCAGGTGTGGCCGTATGTGTGTGATGCCCTGGGAGTGCTGGAGGGCCTGTTGAAGATGAGTCTGGGAGCTGCTGCTACAGTACCAGTGGGGTGTGTGTGGGGGGAGGGTACTACTTGGGGATTCTCAACTCGGGCTGCATGTTAGAGTCAACTGAGGCCCTAGGAAAAGTTACTGGTGCCTAGGTCTCAGCCCAGAACAATCAAATCAGAATTTCCTGGCATGGGACCTGGGCTAAAGCTCCTCAGCTGATTCTAATGGGCAGCCAGAACCGACGACCCCCCAGAGTCGATAAGGGGTGCCTGGAAAATAGGGAAGTAGAGTACATGAAGGGTGCTGGATGGAGAAAGAATGGGCAAGATGGCTTGGGTGCAGGAGACAAGGAAGAGAAAGTGAAATTGAAATGACATTGACGTTCAAAGCCTGGGGACGCTTGGCAGGGCGTAATAAGGAGAAGGGGAAGAAGGCCTCAGTTTGGAGAGGAGGGTAGGAACCCCCCATGAGCAAAAGCCAGAGATGCAGCGAGCAAACAAACCAGTATTTCTGAGCTTCACACAGGAAATGTCGCTAGAGGCAGGGCCCCTTCCCCCTCCCCAGGGTCACCTTCCAGCCCTGCTGTCAGCACGTGGGCCTGGCAGCAGCCCTCCATTCCAGCTCCCGTACCCAGTTCCCGTATCCAGCTCACGTGACTACTCTCCGTACCACAGTTCTGCAGCCTTAAAAAAATTCCAGAAATGGTGCAGGACTGGAAGTGGCCTCTGCTCAGGGGCTCTGAGACCACCGATCTCATGACTCCTGTCCATACAGGCTCAAGTGTTCCCTTCCGAACAGGAGCCACACATCTGTGTCTTGTCTAGTAACGCACACGGTGATAATGGCTTACCAGCCGGTGTCAGATGCTTTCCTCCATGATCTTATTTAAGTTTCCAGACAATCCTGAGAGCTAGTTGTTATTGTCCTCTTACTATCTGGAGGGAAACAGAAGTGACTTCTCCACAGTCTCACACCTTGACAGGAGTGGAGTCAGGGTGCAACTCCGGGGCTTCCCTTAACAAGGATGGTGACATTTTTCCCCCCTCAAACAGCTTTTTTGAGATAGAATTCACATACCAGAAGTTCACCCACTTGAAGAGTACACTTCATCAGCTTCGGGTATATTCACAGAGCTGTGCAACCAGCACACAGTTGATTTTAGAACATTCTCATCACCCCCAAAATAAACCCCTCATTCCTTGGCCAAAAGACAGATCTTTCCATGGCACAGCAGCCGCCTGATGTGGGTGTGCACGCCAGTGTCACACAGCATTTTAATTCAGTTTGTGGTTTGGTCCCTGTTATTTGCCACATGGCTTCAGGCAAATTCTCTGCTCCGAGTCTGATCTTTGTAATGATAGGTCCATGGGATGTACAATGAGACAAGGAAGCAAAGGTGCCCTGCAGCACTTGGAACCCCATACCCATTTGCAAAATGCTAACACCCTCCCCCATCCCTGTATCTTTATGCTGCTCATAGCTTCAGTTTCTGTACCCATATCTCCTTACTGCTGGGGCTGCTGCCCCTGGCCAAAGTGGCATTGGAAGCTCTCTTAAAAGCATGTGTTAGGGGAGAATGAATAAATCCCAGCAACCTAGAACTAAGGCATTCTCATCTATGTGATGTGCCCCCACTTGATCCAGCCATGCTTCTTCCAGGAAGCCACCTCACAGGGAGAATATGAACAAAGACGTGGCTTCAGGAGCCTGGTCATAACTGTATGGTTTATATTAGTGAAATACTGGAAGGGATTGCAAAGTCCCCAGCAGGTATACATTAAATTAAGAAGACATCATCTAAAGAGATGATAGAGGGTGAATATCAATGTCCACAAAGGAAAGAATTTCATAATAGATCAATGGTAAGGACGAAGCAGTCTCTAAAATCATCTGACCCGGTTTTAGTTTTTAAAACATTATTTATATATGTATTATGTATAGAAATCACCTGGTAAGGTAAGGATAGACAACAAAATATTAATAATTATTGGCTCTGGGTAGTAGAATTGCATGTGATTTTTAATCTTGCCACATTTTGTTGCTTCTGATCAATTTTTACCATGACTGGATGTTAACTTTATAAATAAAAAAAGATTCTTTCCATTTTAAAAAGACAAGTAAACACCTTAACTTGACCCCTAGACTCTGCACTGACCCTGCCTTGTTGACCATCCATCCTCTTCATACTGAATCACCCAGAATCTTGCGATGAGAAGAAAAGTTCATTTCTGCATGCGGATATGTTAGGGCAGAAATGCAATCTGATGGAAAAGTTGATGGAGAAGATCCATTGGCTGGGAGGCAGGCAAAGAGGGAGTCATTGACAAAGAAGCCATCCAGCTGCATAATGAATGGAGAGAAGTTGAGAGGAAAAGGTGGCAAGCCTGGGGAAGGGGAGTAAGGGTGAGATCAAGACCAGAAGAGAAGAAAAAGGAGGAGGTCACAAAAGTAAGAAGTGGTGGGGTTAGGATTTGGACCTGCGCCTTCTGAAGCAAAGGACTTTGTCTTTCATGACACAGCCTTGGCATATTATGGTGTCAGAAAAAGAGAGGCAAGGAGTTGATGATTATGAATATTACAGGAACCGCACTGACATTGGTACCTAACGATTTGCCCAGGGCTCTGTCGCATGTCATCTCTGACAGGTGGGGCATGTCTTGCTTATCCATCTCTCACAGATGAAGCCCAGTGAGGCACAGTGAGGGCTTGAGCAGCTTTGGATGGGGCTGGGGCCCACTCACCCCAGAGCTTGAGCTGCACACCTGGCCCTCTGCTCCCAGGACCTGGTGGATGGTAGCAGGGAGAGGGAGTTGTGACCAGGGTCCCAGGCCACACATGTAACGATGCCTCCAGGGTAGGGTTCCCAGCTGCTTTGAAGCATTGCACCTCTTCAGGCTTGTGGGGATCAGAACATGTTAGCCATCTTACCCATGCTACTGAACTTGGACTTGGGAGAGCAGACTCTTTCCCTGATCTGTCACTTGTTAGTGGGTGCCCTTAGACCACCATTTAACTTCTCAGGTCTTGGGTATGTCCTCTGTAAATGGCAAGAAAACACCAACCTCTCCTGTGTGTTAGGATTAAATGATATTGTGTGTGTGAAAACATTTTAAGGTATAAAATGGCACATAAACATTTGATATATTTTTTTCACTCATATAATGTAGCTATGAACTTCACTAGAAAAAAATTGTGCTGAATGTGCCATATAAAAAAAATTTAGGGGATCCCTGGGTGGCTCAGCAGCTTGGCACCTGTCTTTGGCCCAGGGCGTGATCCTGGAGTCCTGGGATCGAGTCCCGCTTCGGGCTCCTGGCACGGAGCCTGCTTCTCCCTCCTCCTATGTCTCTGCCTCTCTCTCTCTCTCTCTGTGCCTATCATAAATAAATAAATAAATAAATAAATAAATAAATAAATAAATCTTTAAAAAATTAAAAAATAAAAAAAAATTTTAATGATTTTCAAAAATGGATAGTGGTCTTGGAAATTGTTCCCCAGCCCCCAACTAACTCCATTCTCCCCTCTAAAAATAAGTGTGTCTATTAAAATAAGAAAATTGGTTCATGAATTGGATCTTTTTTTTTTTTTTTCCAGAAAAGGTCTCAACACCTAAGATCCTCTGGAGTTGTGGCAACCAATCCCTGACCTGTGAGATAACAAGTGGAACTGACCCTACATTAATGCTGTATGTAAATCAGACCATGATCCAAAGCCTTATTAACATGACGATCGTGCAATGGAATTGGACAGCCCAACAGGAAATGACAGTCAGTTGCACAGCAAAAAATGAAGTCAGCCGGAAAAGGGAAGTGAAAATCATCAATTGTTCAGGTGCGTGGCAAGCTGGTCAGACATTCCGAGCTCACTTCCCAAATACAGCCTGCTAGCTCCAGGGCAGAGACTTGCTCAGCCTAGAGGGACCTGCCTGGGAGGCAGCCCGAGCTCAGGGTGAGAACTGAAAACACACTTCTTCCTCCTGGAACCCTTCAGTGAAGCCTTGGAGGAGGGAAGAGGTGGTAGCCTATGGTTACCTGTCTTGGGCATCCCTCCAAGGAGCACAATTTAATCTCAGGCAATTAAAAAGATCCTCTTCTGGGAGAAGGAATGGCCAGATTGAAGGAGTAGAAGGAGCTCTAGAGGTTATCTCATGCAAACCCCCATTTCCCAGAGAGGTAAACTGACTTGCCCAAGGTCCCTCAGCTAGTCGGGGCCAGGATCATGACTCCCAGGGTCATGATGGAGAAGGGAGCAAAAAAGATTACTATCAGGAAGGGGGATGGGCAGTACCTCTTACCAGGACCAAGGTAGAAACCCAGAAATTAGGGGCATGGAGAGAGGATGAGCTCAAGGCCAGGGAGGATGGTGGACACAGTGAGGTAATGCTCCCCCTGCCGCAGAGCTGACAGCCCCACGTTGGTGCCAAGCACCAGGAAGTCCTGAAACCCCAACAGTCTAAGCTCTTCCCCCAGAGTCCCTGCTTGACATGACTCCCGGAAGTAATTTTTGAGGGGCAGCCCGCTCTTGGGGGAGCTCTAGGAAAGTCTAGCTCATGTCTGTCCATCTTTGACAGGATCACCTTGTCAGAGTTTCTTTCCCTCTCTGGGCTTCAGCCTCCCGGTCCACAAAGAGGACGAGCCCCATGATCCCTGAGAGTTTACTCTTGGTCCACTGTGATGACCTTTCCCATGCCGTCTGCTTAACCCCTCTGAAGGGAAACTGAACACAAAAAAGTAGCTACTCAGCCAGAGGCCTTGAGATTTGACAGGGACTATGGTTGGTTGGTTGGTTACCTCAGGAAATAGCCCGGAGCTGGTCCGAAGGCAACACATAAGACTATTTCATATATGCTCTGAATGAGTTATCTGCCGCTGCATAACAAATGACCCCTGTTTAAAACACAGTGACTAGCTCCAGTTTCTGTGAGTCATGAGTCTGGGGTGACTTAGCTGGGGGATCTTACCTGAGGCTGCAGTCAGGACGCTGGCAGGGAACACAGTCATGTCAGTCAGGTCCAGGCTCTGCTGAGGGAGGACCCATGTGGGAACTTGGGGCTTGCTCGTGGGAACCATTGGGCCACCTCACAATGTGGCTACCAGAGGCTCTGGGTGCAGGATCAGAGAGAGCCAGAGTGAGCACCCAAGGCAAAAGCCACCACGCTGTCTTCGTCACTTAGTATCAGGGGTGAGATCCCAATCATATCTGCTATATTCTGTTCTTCAGAAGCAACTCAACCGGCCTAGGCCATGCACATAGGAGGGAATTACACAAAGATGGGGATGCCAGGAAGTGGGGGGTATGGGGGGCCATCTTAGAGGCTGCCAACTGCACACTTAGACCGGCATCACCTCACCCCCATGTCAGCCCACCAGCCATGACCTCACAACCCCCACCACAAAGTCGCAGTGAGTGAAGCTGGCCCCCCTGGCCTTCATGACCTCTTTTCCCCCTTTCAGGAGGGACATACTTCTACTAAAAATTATTCATTGTTTATCTGAAATTCAAATGTAACTGGGTTTCCTGTGGTTTATCTGGCAACCCTGTTCTTTGTGGTTATTTTAACCAGATCCCACCAGCATAGAAATGGGTGTGCACTGGGGATGGAGGGAGTCAGAGAGGCCCTCGGGAGAAGCCAAGGCTCGAAGGTAGAGCATTCATGTCTCTTACTCTGTGATGCAGGGTCCGGAAAAGGGCCACTAAAGACATGGGAAGAACACCTGGGGGAGGTAGGGTAGGTGCAGGTGCTCTTGGAGACCCTCAAAGGGATGCCTTTCGAGGTCCAAGCCCAAGAGGGGCCAGGAAAAGACTACTCATTTGGCTCAACAAAAGGGAGCATACACTCAAAACCAAAACACTGAGGTAGGAGCAGGTCTGGAAGTGGAGGGACCACATCACGTGAACTTAGGGGTGCATCCTCCCCGAGAGGGCATACAGGAAGCGGTATGCTTGCATTCAGAGATGGTGAGGACGTGGTTTTAAATGATGCAGCCTCTGAGACAGGCTGGAATGTTCTCTGTGGAGAGCACCCCAGGCACCTTGGAGGGCCTGGCTGAACAGACCTGAGAGCAGATGGTGTAAGGCGTGCCACAGGGTCTATGAGTGCCCCAGATAGAGGTGTGGCCACCCTGTATGGGAACTCAAAGAGGCTGAGTGCTGGCAGCCCCTACTCCCCCGCCTGTTCCCACTGGGTCAGATCCTGGGAAGGGCAGCCTGAGAGAGACTCTGGCAGCCCCTTGGCTCCAGAACCACCCTTGATTCTCAAAGGGCAGGTGCCCCAGTACCTCTCCCCCTGGGGAAACAGCTTCCAGAAACGCCAGTGCCCAGAGCTCTACTAAGAGCAAGAGCTCGCCTCTGTGTGTTGTTTTACAGTTTACAAAGCATTTCACATCCATTATCTGATTGACCTCCAACAGCCACCCTGTGATGTAAGTCTCATTATCTCCCTTTTATGCAGGATGGAATAGGCTCAGAGAGGTGTAGTAGCTTGCCAAAGGTCACACAGCTCTGTCCTAGAAGAGCCTGGATTCAAATCCATTTCTCTGAACACTGAATGGTTATCCTCATTGCAATGTGGCGGCTGAAGTTCTGTGAGCTGAAGATCAAATCCACCACCGCGGCTAACTCACTGTGTGTCTGGGTTTCTCTCATAGGCCAGGGAAAATCTGGGAGGCACTGCTGACCAGCAGGCTGGGCAAGTGAAGTATTTACCCTGAGTCTTTGGAAACTGCCTGGTCAAAAATAAAAGCCCCCGAAAACAAAAACAAAAACCCTAAAACCAAAAACCATGGTGTAGGAGGGAAGCCAGAGATGAAGGTGGATAAATATGCAGAAACGTGGACTTAAGGGGCTGCTTGAAGGCACCACCCATGAACACATACTGTGTGGCCCCGGGCAACCCATCTTCCCTCTCTGGGCCTGTGAAACCAGAAGTGATCCTGGATTGTCTCTAAGTTCCTTCTCAGAGCTAAACTTCTGTGACGTGCTCATTGACAGTGGTGGTGGTGCAGGGGCAGTGGACCATGCCCCGGTCCATGAAGAAGTTCGCACTTCTACTCCAGAGCAGCGGTCCTCCCAGGAGCCCTCTGGGTGGGGTGGGGGGGTGGAGGGGGGGCGGTGGGCTTATCCCAGACTCCGTGTCCTATCAGAGATTGCCACAAGTGACAGCCTCCATGAGCTCAGCTTCTCTGAGGTTGAAAAGCCCCATCAGCCTCTTTGATCTGCTTCACGTGGGAGGCAGGGGTCCTTGGCCAGAGCAATGAAGTGGCCCCTCTGCTTGGGACCCCTCCCCTCCATCCACTTCTGTTTCTCTTGCAGAGAAGGGCCTGGACATCTATCTCATTGTTGGCATTTGTGGAGGAGGCACCATCTTCATTATCTTTATGACACTACTCATTTTCTACATCAACAAGAGGAAAAAACAGAACAGTAGGAGAAATGGTAAGCTCCCCCACGTCTGTCCCACCCGCAGGCCCGGACAAAATCCCCGTGGAAACAACTCATGGGGATGACACTGTGAGTCTGGAAAGAAAATAATGGAGACTGGTAGTTTCAGAATGTCAGGGTTATAACCAGTGGTTACAGTTTTTTCCATTCTCTGGTTAGCTTGGTCTTTGAAAAACAAATTCTCAGTGGTGACAGAGGGAGAGCTTTGAGAAGCCGAATCCCAGTTGGCCCCTTGGAATCCACCACTAGGCTGACTTGATGAAAGTCTTGTGTGGACATATTCTGAATGAACCACACAACTCTACGTGGGTAGAATGATTTGTTTCAAAACGTCATCTCCATGAACAAACATCCCCTCTAGAGTGGGGGCGGAGGGGGAGGAGGGCAAGGTGTGTTCAGGACCACGCTCCCAGGAACACTGGTAAAATTTCAGAGACCCACAGGACACATTTGGTCTAAAACCAGGGAGTTATACCCTCTCTTCCAACTTATTCTTTAGAGGGGATATGCTAATGCTGGACTGTTTCTTTCTCGAATCGGGGCTGTCCAACAGCCCACCAAGAAGGAAAATGTTATGCTCTTAAGTGAGGAGCTGGCTTAGGGGGCACAGCTACTCAAGGCAGTGGGTTCTGATAATGTCAGGTGTCCCTGCAGGCTCTGGGTGTGCTGGGATCCCATCCTGCAGGTGGGTCCAGCAGGGTGCATCTGGCCCACAGCAAGACATGCAGCCAGGCAAGCAAGCCCCTCAGGTTCTGTGCAGTCTGATCTTCACAGTAGGACTTCGTCCTCTGATGCTGGGTCTCTCCCTAGAGAGAGCCCAGGATGATTTGGCTTCCTTGCTTCAGACTTCTTGCCTCGGGTCCCCTTCAGGCCATTGCCCCTCAGCCCCATGTCCTGCCATGCCTTTGCCCCCAGAATGGCACCATGCTTCCATTGCCATCTTTCCAGCCCTTTCTGCCCCCCATGGAGCAGACCTGTTTGCTGAGTCCTATAGGCACCCATGGCTCCCTCACCCCAATGCCCTACTCAGGCCGTTTTCTGCCCAAGTCCCCTTGCAAAGACCCTTTCTCCATTGCCTACTGCTCCAAGATCACGTAGTCTTCCAAGGTGGACCTCACATGCGAGCCCATGACGAGGTGATCTCTGCTTTCCACATGATAATTAGCTCACGCTGACAAAGCAGTCGCTTGTATCAGGCACTCATTCTCTGTAATATAATGCTTTGCATTCATTATCATATCCAACTTTCCGAGTGATCTCATGAGATAGATCATATCCATACAGATGAGAAAACTGAAGCTCAATGAGGTTAAATGATTTCCCCCAAATCCTATGGCCAGTGGGCTGAGTCAAGAACGAGGGTGATAGAAGCAAGGGGTTCCGTGCAATTGGAGGAACCCACCATGTTTAGGGTTCACCCTAACCTTGCCCACCCCTGAGAGTGAGGCTCCTTCATTTCTGTACCCAGGGTGCCTTGCTTGCTTCATCCTAGCCTGGGCCATGGGTGCATAACCAGGAGGTGGGGTGAGGAAGGACACTGAGCCTGGAGGAATTCCCAGGAGCAGACATTTGGGCAGTGGCTGTGGGGATGGAGGTGAGCACACTGGGCCCCAGAGTCCTGCTCAGAGCCCCAGCTCACCTATCTGTGCAAGGCAGCCTGGGGTCTCAGCCACTTGGCCACACCCCACTCGTCCCCCCAGAGCTCTGGGACTCTGCACCTCCCTGGCGGCTCTGGGCTTGTGGTTTGGCAGTCCTGGTGTGTGTCATTCGATTTTATGCTTCTTGAGGGTATCTTGTCCCGTCGCCAGCTGGTATCTGAGCCATCACTGCCACGTAGCAGTGGCACCTAAGTCTAGAAGATGGAAAATAAATGTTTGAAGAACACATGTACAAAGAGGGGGGTGAACAGACTGGTAAACAAATGGGCAGCCCAAGCTTGCCTCAGAGGGGATGAAAGAGGCCTTCCCAAAGCTGCACAACTGGAAATTGGGAGCAGAATCAAAGCCCTTCCCACTGGGCCTCCCAGCAGGCCCTCAGCTGCTTCGGGGCACCAAAGATGACTTAGAGGGTGGGCTCTTCCTCTTTCTGTGCCCTTTACCTTTTGTGCTTACAGCACCCTGTCCCCTTGCATGTTGCCACCATGTCCTCAGACCCTGAGTCTTCACATTCATAGCTGCCTGAGGCCTGGATTTCCAGCCATCAGGAGAGGCTGTCCTACTGACACCCTCACGGGAAGTTACAAGGCCATGCTCAGAGGGGGCTCAGCTGCACACGCCCATGCCAATGTGAGCGCCATGTCTCCTGCATTGGCCGCAGGAGAGTGTCCTCTTCCCAGCTCCCTCGGCTGCCTTGCGAGTATGGCTCCCGACAGAGGGACTGGGATCCTCCCTTGTAGCCCCAGGGGAGGCCAGGGGAGCCAGAGAGGCCCCTCAGGCCTAGAGAAGCCGAGCCTCCTCACAGACTCCCTGTGTGGTTATAAAACAGCAAGTAGCTCCTATTATTGGGAGTGGTGGGCCTGTCTTCACGGACTGCTGTCACACATCACAGACAATCCCAGACAGGTGACGGGATGAGAATTCTTGTCCTTCCAAGCCCCAGAGGATGGGACTTGCCTATGAATTTCTGAAAACCAGTAAGTTTCTGAGGACTAAACAGCCCCCGCACCAGAATATGGGCTGCCTTAGAGCGGAACTTGGATGAAAGGCAGAGCTAACAGGGAAACCTATCTGAAGGCAAGTGGTCACTGACATCCCCTCTGACTATAGAGCTCCTAACCCAAGGGCTCTAACCACAAGATGCTCTCAGGGCATGGTGTCTAGGATAACCCAGAGGCAAGGCTCTGAGAGCACTTGAGTGCCCTCTCCATGCCCAGACACCCTAGCACACAGGCCCCAGAGGGCTTGTCCTTTCCCATCAAGGCCCTCTACCTGCCTCCTTTGCCTCTGGCCCCCTGAGGTCCCGAAAGCCCTGGGCTCTCGCTCTGCCCTGCTGGCAAGGTGATTCTGTCTCCCCTACAGGACCTGAAAATTTTAGAGGGTAGAGGTGGCTTCTGGTTCCTCACTGCATTCCCCCAAACAGCTAGCATGTCGTCTTGTATGTAGGCGGAACACTCATTAAATTCTTACACTGATCCTATCTTACCAAGAGAACTCTTAGAGGTTTTGCTGTTGCAGATGAGGAGCTGGGGCCACGAGCACACAGAGTAACCACCAAGGAAAAGGGCCGGAAACCCTGTCAGTTTCCAGGATCAACTCCTCCAAATCCAGCTGTGTCCCAACCTCCGCCACCACCTAGTCATCGGGCCCAGGCCCCTTGTCATCGGCCCCCGCCTCCTAGCCACCGCGTGCAGCACCACCAGCAGAAGAAGCCTCCTGCTCCATCGGCCACACAAGTTCACCAGCAGAAGGGTCCTCCCCTCCCTCGGCCTCGAGTTCAACCGAAACCTCCCCATGGGGCCACTGAAAGCTCGTAACTGTCTCCCAACACAGTTGTCCTCTCCTTCTAAGTAAGAGACATAGAAATTGTTCTTTCCCACCAAAAGCACTGTGGAGTTTCCCCCCTGCAGGGGGGCACATGTGCACTTCCACCAGGTGCATTATGCCAGTTAGAATTATCACCTCCTGGAGCTGTGGGCCATGGCCATGTCTGCAGCTCCTAGCTCATCCATGTGCCTTAACACCCGGAGCCTCCAGCCTCCTCACAGATCCTCAGCAGGCCAGGAAGGGCTAGCAATACAAGTGCCAGCATCAGGATGATGGGCCACCAAGCACAAAGTTCTAGAGATCTCCTTGCCTCCCCTTCAGATCATGGGCAGACACGGGATGTCACACTGTACCCGTGCCTCACTGCAAGCGGCCTACCTGCTCGAGAGACCCTCTCGAGGGTTTCTTATGTGCCTGGTGGACACTTCCCCATCATCTTGGGGGTAGAAGTGAAATAAAAGCTTTGATTTGACCCAGTGTCTGCTCATTGTAGAAGGAAGCCCAGCATCAAGCTGCTGGAAGAGAAGGGCTGGGTGGTGTGACAGCAGGATCAAACTTGGTCACCCCAATTCACCTGGGCCACTGAATGCTCCCTGGAACAACCAGAACATGCTCCCCAGGTCTGAGCTGCGGTGCTGGCCCAGCAAGCTATTTGCAGACATGTCTAAGAACCAAAATTCCCATGGCACACTGCAACGACAGGCACCAGCAAATGCAATTGGGTGTCACTTCCTTGACTGTTCAGACATAGTCACAATGATCTGTAGAATCATCCTTAAAAAGATGGGAATCTGTGAATACTGGTGCTGCCATGAGCCTATCAAACACCATCAAAGGTGTTGAATGGCCATTAGGCAAAGATCCTCACCCATCCCCAGCTATGCTAGCTATACTGGGGGAAGTGGAAAGAAAAAAAAAGCAAGACAGTTTTCAGTTAAGGTTTTAAACAATAGGTGGTGAGAAGGCACCTGCTTTGAAATGTTTGGTGCCATGTTTGTGGTCCCGTCCGCCCTTCTGCTCCTGGCTTCTCAGACTTGCTAAACCTTGTCAAGATCTGGCAGGAAGCTCTGAGGTCTAAACCACAAAGTCTATGTATACTCAGGACTTCCTGTGAGAGCTCACCAAGGGGAGAACTGTGCCTGCCTCTGAACCTCAGTACCTATTATGTCAGTACCCAGAGTGAATTATTAAGGATGATGATGGATGCACCCCCAAGGCCTCTTGAAATTCACACACTAAATCTGCCCACATCACAGTCAGCACAGGATCTACCTGGTGGGGGGTGGGGAGGATGAAGGTCTTAGTGATGCCTCCTTCTCCTTCTTTGAGGCACTCCTGAGTGATTCCATCAACCCTCCTGCCAGCATGGCTCAGTCTCATCCCCTTCATGAAGCCTACCCTGGTCTTTCCAGCATAGGCCCTGACTTTCTTCTGAAATCCTGTGGTGCCATTGCATATGGTAGAGGACATATATTGCCTGTAACTACTCCAGAGTTCATCATTCACAGAACATCTGTGTACCAGACTGTATCCTAGGTCGCGGGAACACAGAGGGTGTCTTTGCCTAGACTCAGCCTACAGTCTAGTTACAGTGAGGTGCACTGATAACCAGACAAATGTAACACAGCTTGGTAAGCTGAGGGCAGAGGCAAGTACAGCAGCCCAGACAAAGGACTTTGAACCCACACTGAGTGGAGGGACTGGGGTGACATAGAAGGCTTCCTGGAGGAGGTGGCTTCTGAAATTGAGTCATACTAAATCAGTAACATTGGTGAAGTTAATGGACAGAATCACCCATGCAGAGGGGACGGCCCGAGTAAGGCTCACATCAGCTCCTGGTTTACACAGGTATGTGCTTCCTTTTTCAACCACTGTATTTCATCTACTTGAAGGTACCATTGACACTAAGTGGCATCAGTATTTGACATACCACGAGAGAGAAAAAACACTCTTAGTTGCATTATAACAGATGCTAAGATACAATCAGTTTTTAGACGTGACCCCATTTCTGAGATGTTAAAATATTTTAAAAATGCTTTTTAGGATCAATGAAAGCTTCCGGAGGACAATGACTATTTCTCAGTATCATGTACTGAAAATGTACTGAATGGATGAGGACAGTCCTGTCAAAGGAAGGGCAGTGAACATATGTGACATCCACGGATGTAGGACACATTCCCTGCCCTGCTGGAATCTCCATTGTGAGGCAGAAAACATGGGCTTTGCTTAAGATTTGTGCTGGTCACCCACATGTCCAGTGTTGTGTGACCTGCCACTGACCCTATCTGGAGCATAGACTTTCTGAGAAATGATCAGGCCAGCTGCATAAGAATAGACTGTGGACAAAAAAAAAAAAAAAAAAAAAAACTTTAAAAAAAATGGGGTGCCTGGCTGGGTCAGTCAGAGGAGCGTGAGACTCTTGATCTTGGGATCGTGAGTACGAGACCCATGTTATATATAGAGATTACTTAAATAAATAAATAATGTTAAAAAAAAAAAAGAACAGGCTGTGAAGCTTGTAAAAGAAATACTAATGATTCAATAGGTTAGGTTGGATCCCAAGCCTCTGTGTCTTTAATCCCTGTCCTTCAGCTCGGAGTTCTGTGTCCACTGTATTATGCTTTGATGCAGTTGCAGACATCTGTGCCTAGCAATATTTCCAGTTGACCAAATATTCTAATCTTTTTTCATTTATATGCAAAAGAAATAGTTTTAAGTAACTTTTTATATAGCAAGATAAAAATGATATGAGTGTAACCTCCATTTCCTACTTGTGGTATGACCTTGCATACTGTACTTTTCTATTTTATTCCTTGTAATGAAGTCACAGGGCAGGATCTAGTTTCCAGGGGGGGCCAGCTGAGGGCCGGTGCAGGGGTCCCGGTCCTTCCCATGACACCTCCAGATGCCTTACTCACACCTAACCTGTCCTCCTGCGGGGGGACAAGAGCTCTTAAATGTTCAGGGTTTCCTCTTTCCTGCAGATTTTGAACCAAAGTTTGTCTTTTGGGTTTTCTTTCTTCTTCTTCTTTTTTTTTTTTGTCTGCCTCTAATGCTGGGGCCCCAGAAGGTGGGACAGCGGCCCCCAAGTCTTAACTGTCTCCTGCACATTGTCCTGCAGTCAGGGGTCCAAGGGGCTCCCGTGCTGGCCAGCCCCTCCCTCGGGCCTGGACCCTCAGAGAGTCCGTGTTGGGGTGGGACAAGGGTGTAAATATTTATAATTTTTTTATACCTGTTGTAAAACGAGGGGCAGCAAACGTGGTTTTTTATAAAGGTGACACAGATGTATATTTTGGTAACCCGCACTTACAGGCTCAGTATTGTGACGGGGAGCGCGGTGCATTCCACGGCCTGCCCCGGCGGCTTGTAATGCAGAGAGAACCGAATTAAAGCGATTTTACAACTCCTAAAAAAAAAAAAAAAGTGATTTCTAGGTGATTCCGACAGGCATTCAAATAGGGGAACCACAGGTCTTTGGGTTCTCAAATTATTAATCATCAGTGGCTGGCCAAATGTGAGGCCTTACAGATAACACAACATTGTAAGAAAAACAGTGACAGCCCAGTTAAATAATCCTCCCCAGAGAATTTCCAATACAAGAAAGTCTACCATATTGGAAAAAAGAAAAACCCAGGTAATTCAAGAGGCTGGAACAACCTGGAGTGTCATATGAAGATAGGGAAGTTTGATCTTTATGATAGCCCCTCCTCCCCACCCTCCCTAAAGAGCAGTCTAACCCTAGCTGCTAGGCAGCCTAGCTCCAAGGGGGCCCCAGCTGTGGACTCAGCCTTCCGCTCTGCAGTCTCTTACAGGGGCCCCCCTGAGGCTCACCGTGCCTGCCAGGATGCAGCCACAAGGCTCCAACAGCATGGTCATGTGTTCCGCCCTTCAGGGCCACTGCCTACACTGACCCCGTGGCTCCTCGCCTGCTCACCTGTTCACAGTCTTCTCTCCAGACTCATCAGGGTGGCTTGTTCTGTGGTCATCGAGCACAGAGTGGGAGAAGGCCCAAGGATGCCAGAGGAGGAGTGATTTATTCAGCTTCATTGAATGTTGGTTTCTTCATCTGCCAAATGAGAAGAACAGCTCATAGGGTCAGAGTGAGGATTAATTGGAAATATATGTAAATGTAACAGGTGTGTCCTGCTGGACAGAAGACATCTGATAACTGGGCTTTCTACTTGGATTTTTTAATATTTTATTTATTTATTTATTCATGAGAGAGAGAGAGACAGAAACAAAAATAGGCAGAGGGAGAAGCAAGCTTCCTGAGGGGACCCTGATGCAGGACTTGATCCCAGGACCCCGGGATCAGGACCTGAGCTGAAGGCAGATGCTCAACCACTGAGCCACCCAGGTGTTGCTCTACCTGGCTTAATACCTAAATAAGAATACCCTGGATAGCAGGTACAAATGGCCCAGTCATCAGAAAGAGACACAGTGGATTATAAATTAATAAATAAGCACGCGGTAAAGTAATCTGCTGTTTGATTCATCTGAGTCAGTTTCCTGATGGCAGGCCGCATGGAACAATTGGATAAAAATTCTATACCAGATGTATTAAAAGCTAAAGAGCAGATCTTTGAGACCACTCTACAAACCCTAGGCTGAGTCACCAGCCTGGCTGTCACCTCCTTGGCCTCATAAGACATCTGGACTCCATAAAACAGTATGGTGGCTTATTCACAGCAATTCAAAGTAGGGGAGAGGGAGGCAGGGGAAATTCTAGTCTTTCTGATAGCCTACCTGTCCGTGTGAGATCTACCCACTGGTCAGGGGAGGTGCTTACAATGAATGTTGTGTTGGGCCATCAACTTTCATGAATTCAGTCAACCAGTCCTAGAGGTAAAAAAGGAACTGGCACAGCAAAGATGAGCCACATGCACCAAGGAGGCAATACCTAGATTGCAGGGAGCTGTCATTAGGGAGGGGGACAGGTCAAGGGTAACAATAAGGCAGAGGAATTTCCAGTTAAGTGTAATGGCTTAACTCATGCATCAGCCTTTACTCCCTTCCAACAACAGTAATATCACACTTCATAAAAATCAAAAACCACAAAAACAGAGGTATCTGACTGGTTCAGTCAATGGAGCATGAGACTCTTGATCTTGGGGTCTTGGGTTTGAGCCCCATGTTGGGTATAGAGCCTACTTAAAAAAAATAACCACAAAAATAAAGAGAAGAGAGGGAAAAAATCCAGTTGCATAAATTGGGGAGTTAGAAAAAACAGAGGGAAGGGCAGTAGCTGACTTCTAAGATACTTCAAACTTACATCAGGGATGCCTCTGGGGCTCAGTGGTTGAGTGTCCACCTACAGCTCAGGTCGAGATCCCAGGGTCCTGGGATTGAGTCCCTACATCGGGGTCCCTGCAGGGAGCCTGCTTCTCTCTCTGCCTGTGTCTCTGCCACTGTCTCTGTGTCTCTTTTGTATAAATAAATAAATAAATAAATAAA